TAGCCAATAACAAAATACAAGTGATTAATAAAAGACAAGAGCCATGTATTAACCTATTAAAAGATGTATTAACTAATTATTGTACTACACTCATACTAACTATCATGGTAAGTTCATTTTAACTATTGCAAACGTTTATTGTGACTATCATAATATATTTGTTCCAAGTAACAAAAAAAATATATCAGTATTGGGATTTGCATAAGTGATATAATTTGGGGTTTGTATAAAGTTAATTAAAAAGTTAAAATAGTGATTGCATAAACAATATAGTAATTAGTAGTGATTAGTAATAATATTGGTTGTGAACAATATAGTAATTATTAGCGATTAGTAATTAATAAATAAGGCATCGATCCAAAGAGAAATGCCAGGTTACATTTGCTTATTGTAAAAAACAATTTTAGTAAATAAACTATTACCAGTATGAGCATATTATCGGTGGTTAAAGGATATATATGATACTCTAGTTATTATATATAAATTAGCCAAGTGAGTGAAGATTATTAATTAAGATCTATAAATATACAGAAGAAATACTCAGTAAAAAAAAACTTACTGTAGACAGCCAAAAAAATATTCCAAGAACCTGCTCTAAAGAAGAATCATTAAGAAAAGGCAAGCAAAAAAAAACCCTAGAATCTACGTAACGAAAAATTTACCAGAAGTACTGAAAAAACTTTTCAAAGACCTCAAACATAAAGAAAAGAAGTATTAGTATCATATAGAACAAAAAAAAAAATCAAACTAATTGAACAAACAAACTTATTAGAAAAATTTTCCAAAAACCCAGAATTATCAAGAAAGAAAGTTATTAGAAATACTAAAGAAACAAAGCCTGAACCTAAAGAGAATCATCAAAAAGAACCGGTAGTGTAAAGAAAAATCTCAAGCCAAACCAAACCCTTTTAAGAAAAAAAAATAAAATCTACTTAAGCAAACAAAAAATAACAATTCACAGAACAATAAAGAACTTAACAATGACACCTATGATGACATCTGCGATGACAAAAAAAACCTGCTCTAAAAAAAATTATTAAGAAAAGAAAAGGCAAGTGAAAAAAAAACCCTAAAATCCATATAACTAGAAGCACTAAAGAAACCTTCCAAAGACCTCAAATATAAAGAAAAAAAGTATTAGTATCATATAAAACAAAAAAAAAAATTGAACTAATTGAACAAACAAACTTATCAGAAAAATTCTCCAAGAACCCAGGATTACCAAGAAAGAAAGTTATTGAAAATACTGAAGAAACAAAGCCCAAATCTAAAAAGAATCACCAGAAAGAACCAGTAGTGTAAAAAAAAACTACAAGCCAAACCCTTTTAAGAAAAAAAAAAATAGAACCTACTTAACAAACAAAAAACCCACCAAGAATAACAATCCACAGAACAACAAAGAGCTTAACGATGACACCTACGACGACACCTACAATGACAAGAAGCCACCACAACTCCAAAATTAGCACAACTTTAAAGCAATTACTCCAAGGGGCTAGAATGAACTAACAAAGCTGCAAAAATTAACAAAGATTAGTAAGAAATAAGAAAAAGCGTAGCAAGTTTAAGATGACGAAAAATAATAAGAAGTAAAAAAAAATACTTAAAGTAACGAAAAAGGTACAATAAGTAAACGGATAATTATAGCCCAAAACAAATGATGAAATGAGTATTTCAAAGGCGATTTCAACAATGTCAAGCTAACAAAAAAAAAAAAGTTACTATTATAAACAAAAAAAAATAAATAAATAAATAAAAGATTAGATTATCTAGTATATACACGATCATTCGATCATTACAATAATGCATGATAATCCAGGATAGAGTTGGAGAGTCGGAGTCCACGTGACCCAGAAAATCTCACCAACATCCTGGATTTGTCCAGTGCTACTAATTTGGACAGGTTCTGAGTTTTAATAGCTGCAGCAGGTGGCTTGAGATACAGGTCTATGGACGGCGGCAGCATCTGGCTCGAAATATGAATTAGGTCAGATTCAAATATTCCGGAGTCGGTTGTACAGTTAAAAAGAAACAATAACATTAAGGCGAAGCTTTACAGTAAAGATATACAAATATTGTATTTGTTATATAATTTTTATACTTGCCTGATGCAGGTTATAATAGTACACTTTTCTTTTTCTTTTTTTTGATAGAGGTAGCTGCTATTTCTTACGTGAGATAGCTTTTTTTTGTTTAGCCTGTCAGGGCTTATCTCTTTGTTTTTTCTTTTTTTACATTTTCTATTTTTTTCATTTTTATTCCTTATTATTTCTCCTTTCTTGTTTTGTATCTTTTTTGTATATAAACTCTTTTTCTTCTTGATGTATGTTCTAGTATTGAGAATACGAAATATTATTTTCTTTTGCCCTTGGTGAAGAAAGTAAGGATGAAGAGATAGGCTCTTGGCGGGCTGACAAGGTTTTCTAACTTACATATAGATTGATGCGACACGTCGCTTTTGGGTATACTAGATGCAGCTAAGTAATGTCGGGCTTGCAATTTTCTATACTGTCATTATGCATCCTGTTCAAGTTTGTTTAATAAAGTATTGTATTTGAGCTCCAGCAAGACTATCAAAAAGCTAAAAAAAATATATATATATATATATAGGAGAATAAACTATAACTAAGACATCAAGGTTCTTTTGAGACGAAGTCTAGTCTATATAGTCTAAGACAATAGTCTAAAGCAAAAATGGTGATTTTCTGTGATTCACAGAAAACTACAGAATTTTACTTAAACATAGCAAATTACAGAAATCACTATTAGTTGTCACAGAATATATTTTCTCAATTCAACTCTTTCCGATGATCACTTAGTTCAAATTTTTCTGAAAAAACTACTCAACAAAAACAGTAAAAACTAACTTCTCAGCTTATAAGTTGAAGAAAGAAGGGACTGTAAGATAGCAACTGTCATTTAGAAATAGTTCTCATATGCTACCTGCTGACAGTTTCAGAGTTTATCACTTACTGCAGACCTGGTGCTTGTCGTTTAGAGGTAGTTCTCATACGCTACCTGCCAACAAGTTCAGAGTTTATCATTCACCAACAAAATTCGAGTAGTGCACTGTCTGGAAGAAGGCTGTCTTTGTTGTTTTTAGTAACTTACTCTCTTTTAAGTAGTATCAAGAGATCTCTCTTTCGTTTTCATTTTCTGCCATTCTCACCAAAATTTTCAACAAAAAGTGGACTTTTTGGCTTATCTCCTCCAAAAGATCAGCATTGTTTACATCTACCAAATCGGGATGAACTTAGTAGAAGGCAACTATATGTTTTGTTGTTGTGCGAATATGGTGCTACAGTATGGAGAAGAGATCTACATCCCCGTTTAGGAGATACCCAAGTCAAGTTGATGCCCGGAATGAGTCCCAAAGCTAAACCAAAGATTTACAATCAAGATATAGTAATTAGTTGCAATTATTATATAATTTTTACTCTTATACCTAGCACAGGCTATAATAGTGTATCATAGCTATCTTTCTTTTTTTTCGCTTTTTTTATCTTTGTCCATTTATGTTAGACTATTTTAGAATTTGTTGAAAAGTTTTTTTTTCCCACCGTAAGGTGTTTTTTTTTCTAAAATGTTTATGTCTTTCATAAACATGGCTTTATTTTTTTTACTTTTATATATGAATAAGGGTTTAATTTTGTTGTTGTTGGGCTTAGGTGGAAGAAGTCTGAAAGAAGAGAGAGGTAGTCATAATGGATGGCAAGGTCCACTGTTGAGAGCCGGGTCATATCCAATTTCAGGAGGGGTCTGGAAGGAGGGAAATCTTGCTATAGCAGGTTGAACATAGGTGCCAAGTTGGTAACCAGGTTAGTCTTAACTTGTAATTTAGATAACAATGTGGACTACAGCACTTGTCGTTTAGAGATAGTTCTTATATGCTATCTGCTAACAAGTTTAGAGTTTATCACTTACTTTTTGAAATGCCTAGTTGTAAAATTTTACATATTCTAGAGGAATTGTACAAAGCCTAATAAAGCTAAGGCATGATTGCTGAATTATAAAAAAAAAAAAAAAAAAAAAAAAAAAAAAAACATTAGTTGTTAACTAGTAATTATAATGTAATTATATTTTTTTTGTGAACCCATTATCTGAAAAAATATTGTAAGCATGTTTTAAAAACATTATTTGCTAGTTTTAAACCTATTATTAATTTTTACAAGTTTTTGTAATATTCTTTTTCAATTGTTGCATTATGATTTTTTTTTTACTTGAATCACCAGAATTCATATTAGGATTATTTTTATTAGCTTTTATCTAATCTATCTATAATATTAGAAATAGAGCACTTGTAAAAAACACAACAAATAATCTTAGAATCAATTTCTGCCTATATAGCAAGTACCCACTCACAAACTATATGTAGTTCAGCATGTTTAAGGTTTCCTTTTTTAGTTTTGCCAGATCTACTATTTGTTATCTATTTATGCTAGTAGTTATGAAATGCTACTTTAAAGGAATGATTTTAGCACACAGAAGTTAACCTACTGAGAATTACAACAAGATCATTGTTATTTTCTTGAAGCTTTTTTTTTAACTATATTAGTAATATGTGCTCTGAATGAATCAAAAACAAGAAGAGAGAACAATCTTCTATATAGTTATTGGCCCATGATAACATACCAGGTTTATCCAGAAAGAGGAAAAGCCTTAGAGCCCATCTTTCTAGTTGTATATATATGAACTGTTTTGGCACCAATTTGTTTAATAGTTAGATCACCAGCTATGTCAAACCAGGTCTATGTTTACAATGTTGCTTAGAGGATAGTTTCTCTTAAGATGTAACCGAATTACATATTATTGAAAATTGAGCAATTGCTACTTAAGGTTAGTAGTTTTTTTTTTTTTTTTTTTTTTTTTTTTTTAAAACCAGGATGGGTTATATACCCCCTGGGCGCAAGTGGCGCACTTTTTATTGACAAAAAATGTGTAAAATTAACCTATGTACATGCGATATAATTTTGTCTATGTTACCTATATACACTAAATTTCTAACATTTTATGCATTTAAACCTTTTTGCTCTTCTCTTAGAGCTTTTTCCCAAATGACTTTGTAGGTCGGAGACTTCCTTTTTTATCCGTGACGTTGCCCTCGCAGTAGCCGCTTCATTCGACAGTGTTTCTTTTCCCCATTTATAGGAGGTGTATATACACCAAAGCTCATATATAATGATTGTATTCATCCATATTATGGCCTCCATATCTCTTCTTTCTATGTTGGTCGTAGGTGTGAAGACTTCTTCGATTTTTGAGAGTGGTTGTATCCCTTCCAGTCAAATGAACTTGTAGGCCACAAGCCATATTTCTTTGCCTATTCTGCATTCTACCGCAAAATGCTCAATGTTTTGTCTTCTCTCCGGGCACCATGGGCAGTCTCCAGTTTCGTTTTCATTAATATGTCTGATTCTGTATCCGAGGGGTAGAGATTTGTGGTATAACCTCCACATTATATCTTTTTTATTATTAAGCATCTCCTTTTGGTGAAGCCAAATAGCCTTTTCCCCGGACGATTCTACCTCATTATTGCGGATTGTAATCGCATCTCTTAAAAGGTTTACTATCCTTTTAACTGTAATTTGTGCCTCTGTCCATTGTCCTATTTGAATCATTGAGTCTTCCCATGGCCAGCTTGAGCTTGCAAGGATTGTGCTGGTTGCCTTCCTCCAAGCTTTTAAATAGGGCTTCCACTCGTCCAGCCATGTTTTCAGTTTTATGGGATTCTCTTTTAATGCTGTGACCACTTCAATGTTCCTTTTATTTCTTAATAAACGGGTTATAGTATCTCTCTGAAATAAAGCCCACAAGGTATTGCCAGTCATGAGTCTTTTCTAGACAGTCACTAGCCACGCATCTAACAGATTGTTTATTATAGGGGCTTGAAGCCTGAAGTCATTGTAAGCCTTTTGAAAGGTGGAGTACTTTGGTAGCAGCTTAGATTTTCGCTTAATCTAATAGGCGATGTTGTCGTTGATTTCTAAGATCTGTTTTCTATTAGGTGGACATATATATGAGGTGTACCAAATCCGAGATAGGATTAATGAGTTTGCCACCAGGATTTTCCCTCTCAGAGAGAGGTTTCTGCTGCTGTACTGTTCTATTAATTTCTTAATCTTGGTTATATATCTTGGCCAGAAGTTTTTAGGAGCGTGGCCATCCCTAGTTACCTCATATCCCAAAATTTTTACGGTTTCTTCTGTAATTTTATTAAAGTCCTCTTCATTCTCTAACTCGACTCTTTCTGTTGTCTGTGTCAGAGGTAACAGCTTTGTTTTCCTTTTATTTATTTTAGCGTTGGAGGCGCTTTCATAAATTTTTATAATTTTTTGTAGTTCCTCCCAGTCTGAATTAGACCCAATTCCTACTAAGAGATCATCAGCATATGCTGCTGCCTTGAAGAAGAAATTACCGAGGGGTATGCCTCTAATATTTTTTTCAATTCGTCTTAATAGGGGTTCGAATGCGATAATATATAGCAGTGGTGAGAGAGGGTCTCCTTGACACACCCCTCTTTCTACTCTAAACGGTTCTGAGATGCCATCTTTGCCAAGAATATTAGCTTCTTGGTTAGCAAAGAGATTGTTTATTATCCTGATAAAGCTATTCCCGAACTTCATTTGCCTTAATACCGCCTCCAGATAGGTATGGTTAACTCTATCGAAGGCTTTCGCCTGGTCAATTAGGACTAGCCAGCCTAGGTCTGTGGCATTCCTTTTATTTCTGAGGGTTGTGAGAATATCTAAAACTGTGTTGGTGATTTGTCTTCCTTTAATAAAGCCTTGTTGGCCATTAGTTATGAGTTTTTCGCAAATACTATTAAGCCTGTCTGCCAATATTTTCATAAATATCTTGACGTCGCTGTTGACTAATGATATTGGTCTCCAGCTGCCGAGCTCTTCCAAATTTTCCTCTTTTTTTGGTATTAAAACCAGAATGTTCTTGTGCCATGATATTGGCATTACTCCTGTTCTCATGACCCTGTTGAACACTGTTTTTAGGACTGGAGTGACCTTGTCTATTAGCAATCTATAGAATTCATGTGTTAGGCCATCCATGCCCGGCGATTTATTGTATGCGAGTGACCGAATTGTGCCCTTAATTTCTTCTTCACTAATCTCTTTCTCTAGATTTGTGTTCTCTTCTTGTTGAATGTGAGGCAGGTCTTTGGTAATGTCCGAAATTGCATTGTTATCAGGGGTCTCTGTTTTGTATAAGGTTTCATAGAAGATTTTTATATAATGTAGCGGTTCTTGTCTTACTTCCGAATCCCCTGGGATTTTAATCCTATCTTGACAGCTTGACATTGTTCTAGATTTGAATCTGGCGTAGAAGTATTTTGATTTTCTACGCCACGTTTCGGAGAGCTGACCTAATTCATCCTTTAGTGCCGTCTATATCTCTTCTATCTTTTGAGCCATGAAGCTGCTAACATCCTGTCTAGCTGCATTTTTTTTGAGTCTCAGAAGTTTCTTGTTCAATTGAGCGATTTTCCCTTCTGTGGCTTTCAGCTTCTTGAACGCTCTTATTATGGATTGAATCCTTAGCTTACACAAATCCCAGTCATTTGGGGCTTCTTTATCTGTTAATTCTTCCATTACCTCTTTTGCTAATTTATCATTGCGCAAACATCGCTCGTCAAATCTCCAAAGGGCATTGGATTCGTGTGGTTTGGCTGAGCGGAGTGTGCATTCTAAGAGCATGTGGTCAGAGTTTCCATGCCGTAATGACATTTGCTTGACCAAATGGCTATATTCCGCTTCTATGAAGATGTAATCTATGCATGTGGCCATGCTTCTTCCCATCTGTGTATTTTGGAAGTAAGTAAGGAAGGGAGACTCTCCCGCTACTTCAGAGGCATCTATGAAGTCCTTAGTCAGCTCTAGCAATTGTTTACGAGATGGGTCTTGTTGATATGCTGATTGACTTATTCGATTAGATTCCGGGTTTAAGTTGGTATTAAAATCTCCTGTTATTATATTAATGGATCCTCTTTTTATTGAAGACTCCCATCTTTCAAAGAATTTTGTTCTATCTGGTAAGTTAGGGGGAGCGTAGATATTGGTAATGTGAAATTCTTGGCCCTTATGTCTGAACTCTGCTTCTATTACTCTCCCTTCCATGGATGTTACTATGTTGGTAAATTCAATGTCCTTCTTTCCTGCGAGGATAGCACCTTTATTTGTCCATATCGAGGGAAACCCCCATTGAAATTTAATTTGTTCGATTGTTTTTTCACTGTTTATGTTAGTTTCCTGTAGCGTGATTATGTCTAACTTGTATGATTTTAGTAGTGTGATAGTATTTGTTTGTTTGCCTCTGTTATTTAGACCTTTCACGTTTAGTGTTGCTATTTTCAAATTTATATTGTGAGGCATATTACGTGATAGGTTTGGTGGTCCAGCTAGTGCTTGGGGTTGGTTCCTTCCCCTTTATTGGTGTAAGGGGCTGGTCTCGATTTTTCCTTTTTATCCATCTTACTGTTGGTTGATTTTCTTTTTTTGTTATTGGCGCGTTTCACTAGTGTGAAAGAGTCGTTTTCTTCTACCCCATTTTTTGGGAAATACTGTCTGGCGACGTGTTTGGAGATGTTGTCTCGTTTACAGCCATAGAGTCTGCTGCAGGTCCCTCATCGTTATAGGTGGTCGATAGTTCATCTACTGGGCCCATGATTGGGATTTGAGGTGTGACAGATGTGTCTGCATTGCTTGTCGTTTCCTCGGGTTTAACGCTGGATCCATCTATTTGCATATCATTGCCATTTTCTGCGACCTCAATCAGTTCTGATTGGATTTCAGTAGATTCTGAGTCTGTCATGTGATCGTCTAGGGGAGTGGAGTCCTCCTGCCCCTCATTTTCTACAGATGTTCCAAGAGAATGTACGTTCCATTCTCTACGAGCTCTTTCTCTAGCTTCGATTGAAGACTTAAGTTGTTGACAGTCTTTCTTAATATGACCTTCCTCTTCGCAGAAGTAACATACTTTAGGTGCTGATCTCCATTCCGTAGTAACTTTGTTGTCCCATATATGTGTGAATCTAGGGATTCTTCATTCTAGGGATGAATTGTCGGTTGTGTCAAAAACCACAATCCATTGGTCAGAGAGGTATGGCATGCCCTCAATCAACAGTGGTCTAATTGAGGACACATTTCCTATATCTGTAAATGCCTCTAGCAATGCTTCCGAAATTTTGTTCTTATCTCCTAGTGGAACATTTCTACATTTTATTGAGAAATACGATTTTCTAGCATCTGTGGGAATATAACCAAGATAAGTTCTCCCCCTTGATCATTAAGCCTTTTGCGGCATATTTTTGTAGCGTAGCTTTGTCCTTGAATATAATTTCTGTGTGATCTTTTGCCCCTATTAAAATGTTGCTTGGCGGCATTAATATCGTAGCCTGCTATCTTGAATAAATCTTCTATGATTTCATTAAATGAACATTGTAAGCTGCTAGTTGCTATGATTAGTGCGTTGTCATTTTTGGTTTTGAGCGTATTTCTAGGGGAGAAGGAGGAGAAAGTAGTTTTTCCTCGTGTTAGTTTAGGAAATAGCGAGGACCATGATTTTTTTGATGTTGTTTGATGTTCGTTTTCCAGCCTGTAGTCTGCCTGAGTATGTTCGTTTTCGCTTTGTTTTGTATCCTTTTCTACATTTTTATATTTAGAGGAGGCTGCAGTTACGTATCCTTCTATAAAGTCCAGGTCTTCAATAAAGTCCTCGCTATCTAGAATATTGTTTACTTTAATCTCATTTGTAGAGTTGCTGCATTTTGCATCTATTACTTGTGTATTTTTTTGCTTCGGGGTTACTCTCTATATGTTCTGACTGTTCTATATTTGTTGTGTTCGTGATATCGCTAAGTGTAGTGATTTCTTTATTGACCTGTTTATCCCATCTGAGTGGTGGTTCCGCGGTTTTGTTTTCTTGTTCACGCGTCTGTTTTTCTTTGTTTTCTTTGTTTTCTTGGGCCGACGGAATCGTCATCTTGTTTTTTTTGTGTTTCATATTTTGCGGGTTTTCTAAGAATACAGGTTCTTCGAGCTTTCGTTTTCTGTTTAACTGGGGCCAGGCCCCTCTACCTTTATTTTCTGTGTCCTTCTTCTTTTCGTGTTGTGAAGTTATTTCATATTTTAAATTTACTCCCTCTACCTACCATGTCCAGGAGAGAGTGCGTTTTAACTATAATATTTTTAAACAACAACTTAAACACAAATATATTTTTTATCTTGAATCACTTTGCTTTTCTAATAATTATACTTTTCTTAACTAGATTTATTTATTTTCATGATTACTATATATTTCTAAAAGAAAAGTCTTTTTGGTTTGCTTATATTAAAAATACAATTTTTTCAGATAATCTTTATTGTATTATTTTTTCTAATTTTTAATTTTAAAATAGTATTCTTTTTGTCTATTAAACCAATTTTATTTCTAAATCATCTAAACTCTAGTTACTTAATTATTACATTCAAAATATTATTATTGGTTAAGTTCATTAAATTTTTTTTTAGTACAATGCTATTTTTATTACTTACTAGTAATATAATATTAATACTACTTAATTTAATTGCTATTTATTATTTTTTATTTCTTGTATATCTTGTCAAAGCTTTTAACTTTAACTAGATTTCTAATTGCTATATTCTTAAAGTATTTGCTATTTTCTCTATATAATTTCTAGAAAGAAAAAAAGCTAACAAATAAATTAATTTTAATATTAACTATATAGATCTTATTTATTTTACTATTCTTAAACAATTTTTTCTTATTTTTAATTAATATTTTTAATTTTTTGTTTTTAATTTTTTTTAATAACAATGAAGCTTTACAACAACTTTTATAGTTTGCATTATCAAATACCAATTTACAAAACTTTATCTTTTATATTAATAGTTCTGTTATACAATTAGATACAAACTAATACTTTATAAGTATTGGCTAGGTTCAAATATTAAATAATTACATTATATACTGATTAGCTTTTTTTATATAAAGCTAAATTACTTGCTTTTTATTTGCTATCTTTACTATTAATATATTTATAAACTTATAATTAGTTATTTTTAAATATACTATAAAATCTGGATATGTATATTCTAGATATTTTTATTACTCAATTTGTACTCAGAGTATTTCTATATGAGAATACACTATATTAAAACAATATGTTTTACTATATCTACTTGAGATAATATATATAGTATATATAATATCTATATACCTGAGTATAAGTCACCAACTAGCTCTTAAAACTGCTAGAGAATACACACTATAGGGAAGTATATGTGTTCAGATTTTATAATAATAAGCTTATTTTTTATATTAATACTCTTCAAAGCAATTTAAATTTAATTCATAGCTTATTTAATATATACTTCTTAAAGCTTTAAAATTTTTTAATATTAAATTATCTTTTTATAAAATCCAAGCCTATTCTAATAATTTTTTTAATAATTTAGCAAATTTACTAGCTAAAACTATTTAAACTTTTTTACTTTATTTATTATCTTCTTTAATAAAAAAATCATTTTGTTAAAAATTTTACTAGAAGATTTATACAAAGCAAAAAATATTGCTATATAGTTATTTCAAAAATATAATTAGAAGTAGTTATATCTCTTTTATCTTATTAAATAGAACTCTATTTAGCTATACTATAACAATAACTAAAAAGTCTTTTATAAATTTACTAACTCCAAACTTAATTATCTTAAATTTTTTAAAATTAAAATACTTTTAAATATTTTACCTATACATAATTACTTTCACTCTATATATACTAATATTTTTTTTCTCTAATTGCTTTTATTGCAACTTGTTTGATACTACTTCTTATTAGTACTTTTGTACTAACCAAACTTCTATAACTTAAATTATTAATTAATATTATTTCTAATTCTAATTTTAATTTATCTACTAATCAAATCAATCAAATAGTTTATACTATTTCTTTTCATCTTTCTTTTATCTTTTTTATTTTTCTTTATATTTTTTTTTTATACTTTATTATCAAAAAACTAATTTTTATCTCTTTAATTCAAGCTCTACAATTATTTAAATTATTTTACTCTAAGGCTTTACAACTTATTATTTAAATATTTATTAAAATTTTTAAACAATTATACTTACTTATATAGATTTTATACTATACTAATTTTTTACAATAGAAAAAACTTAAAATATCTCTTCTAAATTTTTTTATATCTTCTAATACTATCTTATTTTATCTTAACTTAGAATTATATATTTTTATAACTACTTTTATGATTAGGCTAACTACTTATATATTAACTCTAATATCTATTCAAAGTTTAAAAAAAAAAAAGTTTTAACTACTTTAGTAAATTTAAATTGCAAATAAAGTAGTTTAAGTATTTATTTTTGTATATAATTTATATTTATTTGTTATTATATAAATTAAATCTTTTATATAATTGTTATATATTTACTCATATTTGTAGATTTTTAGAATTCATACAGATTATTAATATACTCTAAAAACTCTATTACACAAGATAAAGTATATTAGATAGTTGATATCTAATTATATACTGTTAAATCTTTATTCTAAAATTAATAACAATACTAATATCAAATATTAATACTGTAATATATATATAATATCCCTTAAACTGTAGAGTTTGTGTAACAATTTTAGCTTAAAAATGGCATAAATTTAGTTATGATTTATTTTTTTTAATATTTAAAATATTTAAATAAAATTTCATATAATAATATTTGAAAA